TTACGTCTTTGTTTTCTTTGTAGCTTCCCATAGGTTTATGCTATAGCATTAAAAGTGGTACCAAATGAAAGCTAATAAGATTCTCTTGCATATGGTGTCAAACATATAAACACCTGTGTAAATTTTCAATAATTTAAAAGCAGAAAAATGCACATTTTGATGCTCGGAACAAATAAATTACAGACCTTTACCTCACAAATGTTTCTTATAATTCACAATTGCACATATATCACATAATAATACTAATAATACTAATAATAATAATAATAATAATAATAAAACATGAACACCTGTGTAAATTTTTACTAATTTTAATGCACAGTAATATAATATTTCTAGATGCTAGGAAAGGATGAAATTATATAGTCTATAACTTCAGTCTATACATGTGTGTTGAACAAAGAAAGTTTTTTTCTAAGTAATGGTTTGTGATATAGTATACAGCATATAATATATTGTCACTTGTTCAATGTGGTTTTTTTTTAAACTGTCAAATTTCTTTCTGTGGTACTCCACAACTTGCAGTAGGCAGCTACTCTGCTTTGAATCTGTTGTAATGTGAGTTGCAAAGTCACTCATTAATTTCACACCCCTCTCAGCTACATCATTTGTTACTTTTACTGACTTAACAAACTTCTTTGCATTTCTGTAGCTGTCATTGTCTTCCAAGTGTCAGCAGGAGTAGTGAGCCCGTCACATTTCACCCCAAGAGCATCAAACAAAAAGTGAGACTCTGGCCCTACCAGGTCTGTTAGAACGGTAGTTGCATTGATGACAGGGAACACTGGCTTGCCTCTTCTGTAGCTATCAGGTTTCTCTGTTTCTGACAGCTTGACTGCGACCTTCTCCCTTGCAGATTTGGTCATGCTGTCATGTGAGCTGAACAGGGTAAATGTCACAAGTTCCTAAGTCAGATGCCAACGGTGGTTGTTCAGTTTCTTCAGAACAGAGGTCGCATATTCATAATCATGCTGCTTGTATTGCAGCATGTCCTTCATAAGCTGGAGGTCATGAATAGGTGCATCAGCAGCAGATGTGGTGGTCACCCAATGGTTGGTGTAGAATAAGGCCAGGAACTTGTTCATCCTCTCAAGCTTGGAGATAGTGTCCTTGTTGTATTTAAGTTCCTTGGAAAACATAAGCATCTGCATACAGTAAATGTTCCTGGCCATCAAGCGAGCCTGGTGAATGGTACCTGGTTTGGTCCAGTGGATACCTTGAGGAGGTTCTTCACCAAATAGGATCAGACATAGCTCTGCCACCTCTCTGTAGTCTGCTCTTGGACTTGCTTTCTCAAGGAAATTCCTTACAGCTGAAGGAGTTTACTCTAATTCATCAACCAAAAAGATCAACAGAAGCAAAAATCCAAAACATAAATCCACAAAAATGAGAACTAGGAATACTTGACGACAATGACGACAAACCAGCAAAGAGTGACTCAACAGGAGGAGAATATATGGGAGAGAGAAACCAGAAAGAACAGGCTAATTAGTAGATTGGGAGCAGGTGTGAACAGAGGCAAGAAGGGAGCTAAGGAAAAGGAAACTGACACAAGAGGGCAAACAAGAAATATCTAAGAACTCAAATACAATCAAAAATAACTAGAACACAAAAATGGAAATAAGACCAATGAAAATTCAGAGAAAAAACTTGAACAGAACCATGACGGCAGCAGCTGCTGGAGTTGAAAAAATTGAACTTTTGCTGCACAACGCGCCGCATCATCCAATCACAGAAGCTGATCTGGAAGCTGGCAGGGTGACAGACAAAGCACTGCTGATGCAGACTGTATGATTGATCCTCTGAAACTTTTTATTAACGCCTTAATTAACTTAAAATGTAGAAACCTGCTGGCCAAATATGTTTGATTTTATTATTTTTGGTGCCTGCAGTTAGTATTATAGTGGCAACCTGGCCAGAGGCTGCGTTGAACGGGATTTCCAGGGACAACGACTCAGATCGCCGTTGTACGGGGGTCTGAGAGGCTCCGACAGCAAAATAGTATTCAAAGGCTGGATCGTAATCTCGATAAACTGATTGCACAGATGAAGTTTTCAGATGGACTTTGTCACTAAAAAACATATTAAAGCTACTTTTTACCCACTAATAACAACAAATATAGTAAAGCCGCTCTCTGCCATTGAACACAGGAGAAGCAGAAGCATCAGACGCATCTGGACACGCTTTACTGGACGTCTGACCTTAATGTGTACAAGCATCATTCCAGCTCTTGCTGTCTGAACGTTGCATTATTTATTAAAATAAGCCAAGCCACTCTCGATTCCATCCACCATTGTTTCGGGCAAATAAAGGATAGGGTAGTTCCGCCCAGCACTCATCAGACCCACTTTTCGACGGCGCACCTAGAGCAGCAAAGATGCTTCAGCCGCGCATCAGAACTAAACTTGTACAAGCATCAAAAAATCCAGCAGCACGTCTTTTTGCTGCCTCTGCTGCGTGCGATCTGAACGTAGCATAGCGCTTTATTCTGCTTTCCCCGCCTCCTTTTTCAAACTTTTTAGAAAAAGTGCTTTAAGTTTTTTAGTATAGTGTAAAAAAAAAAAAGAACATTTAAAAAAAAAAGTTGTAATCCAGTGGAATATGCTTCCTTTACATATAAAAATCTGGGATACACATGAAAAATAATATTATATAGTACTTTTTCTAGATGTTTGTTAATTTGCAGAGTTGCTCGTAAAATAAACGTATTCTCAGAAAATAGTATATTAAAAAAATCTAAAGCTGACTAATTGCTTTACCTGCTATTTTATTTTTTCAGGTCGGTAACACTATACTGGACCATGCAAAACACAGATTTGCCTTCACAAAGCATCAGAAGGGCAAGATTTGAATACAAAAAATAAACCTGTACATTAAATTATGTTTTGTTTTTATAAAGTGTTTTTATAATGTTTTTTCGTTGTTGGCAATATATAAATATACTGGTGTGATAACTTAGTATACGTTTGATTTGTTTTTGGTATACATCTATTTTGAATATATAGCCCCTCTGGAGAAAACTCCACCAGCCGCCACTGATAACCACTGCAACCATTGTCAGACAAACCAAGCCAAATCATCCCACATTTGAGTTTGGTGTGAATGCAACTTCAGACCAGCCCACTGAGTTCAATAAGTCAAGTTGACAATTAATAAATAAACAGTCACACAATCCACTGGTTTACTTTTTATGTATTTGTCACTGCACAAGAAACCATTCTTTGATAGTCTTTGGACAAAATCATGTTGTTTAACATAAAAAACAAACAGCACACACTGAGAAAGGGTGCCCTTCGAAATAAAACCTAAATCACTGCAAAGCAGTTCTGTGAAGAGCATAAAGCTTATTTTACAGTCCGAGTAAGCAAATCAAATTCTCAGGATAATAATTTATTTTTATTGTATTATAAATGAAATATATTTGTTTGTTTTATTAAAATTCACATTTATTCATTTAATAATAATAATAATAATAATAATAATAATATTGGTTAATAAACAACCATGTCGAAAGACATATCCCGTGGTCCTGGAAAAGATGTTAGTCTGTTTGAGAAGGGTCAAATCATTGGCATGCATCAAGCAGACAAAACATCTAAAGAGATTGCAGAAACTACTAAAATTGGTTTAAGAACTGTCCGACGCATTATTAAAAACTGGAAGGATAGTGGGGACCCATCATCTTCAAGGAAGAAATGTGGCCGGAAAAAATCCTGAATGATCGTGATTGGCCATCACTTAAACGTGTGGTGAGATCAAATCGAAGAAAAACAAGAGTAGAACTCAGGGCTATGTTTAATACTGAAAGTAAGAGCATTTCCACACGCACAACGGGAAAGGAACTCAAGGGATTGGGACTGAACAGCTGTGCAGCCGTAAGAAAACCACTAATCAGTGAGGCTAACCGGAAAAAAAGGCTTCAATTTGCTAGGGAGCATTAAGATTGGACTGTGGAGCAATGGAAGAAGGTCATGTGGTCTCATGAGTCCAGATTTACCCTGTTCCAGAGTGATGGGCGATTCAGGGTAAGAAGAGAGGCAGGTGAAGTGATGCACCCACCATGCCTAGTACCTACTGTACAAGCCTGTTGGGGCGGTGTTATGATCTGGGGTTGCTGCAGTTGGTCAGGTCTAGGTTCAGCAACAGTATGTGCTCAAAGAATGAGGTCAAGTGACTACCTAAATATACTTAATGACCAGGTTATTCCATCAATGGACTTTTTCTTCCCTGATGGCACAGGCATATTCCAAGATGACAATGCCAGGATTTTTCTCAGTATCCTGAGATTAAAGTCAGATTTATAAAATTAAATGCAGAATTCTGAGATTAAAGGCAGAATTCTGAGATTAAAGTCAGAATGCTGGAAAAAAAAGCCAGAATTCTGAGATTAAATTAAGAATTCTGAAATTAAAGTCAGAATTCTGAGAAAAGTCAGAATTCTGAGATTAAATTAAGAATTCTGAAATTAAAGTCAGAATTCTGAGAAAAGCCAGAATTCTGAGATTAAAGTGAGAGTTCTAAGATTAAATTCAGAATTCTGAGAAAAAAGTCAGAATTCTGAGATTGAAGCTTTAATTCTGAGATTAAAGTCCCAATTCTGAGGGGGAAAAAAATCAGAATTCTGATATTAAAGCCAGAATTCTAACATTTTCCCATATTAAACTGAAATAATACACTTTTTTCCCCCCAGTGGCCCCAATCCTCTTCTCTTCTGTATGACAACGTTNCAGTGGCCCCAATCCTCTTCTCTTCTGTATGACAACGTTTTGAGTGAAACTAAACTAAATTGGTCTAAATTGGACCGCATTTTCTGCGGATGTCTCTTATTCTAAGCTGAAGTAATGAGTGCTGTTAAAAAAAAGGGTTTGTTCAGTTTGTTATTAACACACTAGTGAATGTGATTAAAAGGATCATGTTTCGTTTTCCAGATCCAATCATCAGCTGCCGAGGCTCGATCTGTATGGTTTGGATCCTCCCACTCATCTCAGCACCCGCTCCTCCTCGCGCCCTGTCTGTCTGTCGACCCTCATTCATAAGTAAATGTGTTCTTTCCATGGAATACAAAAAGATGCGAGAGAGGGAAAGGAGAACTTCAGGGGAGTCAAGGGAAGAGATCCGAAGAAGAGTGCGACCTTGTGAGTTGATCTACGGTAAATTAGCAAAACCTGGTTTCATTTTGAGATTACAGGTGACAATGCTGTTTATGCAATTAATCCGGTTGGAAACAAACAGTGATTGATTGGTTCTATGAGAGGCATTGTCTCGCGATACTACGGATTAAAACTTTACTCAGGTGTGAAGACTTTTCAATTAATGTTTTGCGCCATGAAAAGCTCGTTTACTTTATTTGATTATGTTAGTTTATGATCCGCTTGATGCCAATGTAAACAAAACCATAAAAAGCTTTAACGTTTAGCAATGAATTATAGAATATTTGGTGACAGATTTTAAGGGACAAATTAGTAAAAGTCTTTCATTAATGAAGCAATGACACTATATAGTCATTAACTCGGAGAAGAATCGAAAATAATTAAAAATGACCATAAAATTGTCTTTCAATTTTTCTCATGTCTACATAGAAGTAAAAATAAAAACAAAATGAGCACTATTTAATTACTCTTAATTGAGTACAAATTGCATAGTTGTGAAAGTGCTGGGTTTTAGGCTTTTAAGGTAAATATTTATATTTATTTTTGGAAAATGTGATGAGGTGATGAAAGTTTTATTTTTTTGGTTTTCCTGGTAATGAGAAAAAGAAGAAGGAAATCTTTTTTGAAAGTTTTCAAGCATAAAATTCTGAGGTTGGATGTAACTAATTACATTTCCTCGGTTTCTCGGTCAATTCACTGCACCTTACTTTTTACTTAAGTAAAAGCAGAGGTGTCAAGTAACGAAATACAAATACTTTGTTATTGTACTTAAGTACACTTTTTAGGTATCTATAATTCATTATTTATTTTTCCTCCTACTTCTGACTTCTACTCATTACATTTTCACACAAGTATCTGAACTTTCTATTCCTTACATTTGTACAACAAACGTTACTCGTTACTCATGGCTTCGGTTTAATGTTTATAAATATTTATTTCACGTCATGTGTGCCATCCAATGCAGGTCATTGGCTCCATCCACATCTAGTGAAAACTAGGGAAATTGAATGAGTCATATAACTCAAACACTCATTGGTTAGCGAAAGGAAATAATCAGAAGCAAGCAGGTGTTCTTCAAACTGCAAACGTGAATTGTCTATACCATGCTACAATGTCAGATTCAGAAAAAGATGTAGAAATGTCTGAAAGGTCGGACACAGGTGAGAGCGTATCGGGAGATGGAGACTGAGACCAACAAGACCTCCCTCATCCTTGACCCTATCTCAAAGAATTTCTTTGAAATAGTCGAAAAATTGAGCTTTCAATTCATATAGTGGCATCTGGCTGGTTTTTTTTGTTTTTTTAAAGTATTTTTTCTGAGCACATAATTTTTCACTTTTACTTGAGTAAAGAGGTCAAGTTGATACTTCAGCTTTTACCAGAGTGTTTTTAAACTGCAGTATCTATACTTCTACTTAAGTAACAAATGTGTGTACTTTTGACACCACTGAGGAAAAGTACTATGAAATATCTTTACTCTTACTTGAGTAAAACCATTGACTTATCTATCCGCTATGAGTAACTTTACTATAAAAGCCTTAAATGCACCAGACACAGACAGACAGTTTACTATATGAGTAAAAGTACATATTGTTACTGGAGGCTGTGTACTCTGTTCCATCTTATATACTTTTAAGAAATGTTTTAATTACTCCCTTTTAGTCTTTTACACAAAATACATTTTTACATAACTTTTTTTTATATTTACTTCATTTGAAAGAATATAACATTTGCTCATTACGTGAGTATCCCTTTTAGTTTTACCTGAGTGTAATTTATTGGATGGCTACTTTCTAATTTCGCTTGAGTAGAAATATGTTGAAGTAGTGCTTCTTTTACTTGAGTAATGTTTTTGGTCCTCTACCCACCTCTGATAATATCACATTTCTTTGTCTCATATGTTAAAGCATGGCATTGGTCAGTAACCTAAATTAAGTTCTCACAGTTGTAGGATCAGATTCTAGGTTGTCAGTCTGATGGGCTATTTTTATTTCGCCATGTTGTGGTGTTTATAGGGTAAATAAAAGAGGCAAATGTATAAATACTTTTATCAGCCTTTTCTTCCTCACTGCATACAGTAAGAAAATATATATATATAATTTTTGTTTTCATTATTATTTATGTATTCATGTATGTATTGTTCTCAGAAGATTTTAAGAGGGTAGGTTTGCCTTTGATTTAATTTATGCAGCAATAAAAATGTAATAAGATTTTGTCTTTTTTTTTAGGTCATCTCTTATTAACGTGGTCTTGAAATACACATGCAATAGTACTGCTTTCATTTTAATAAAGGTAGCTTTGTCATGCAGTGTTAAGTAATAAAGCAAAATATTGCATCGTGTCCAAATGCAATAATTAATGCATCAACATCACAGTAGCTGCATTGTTGTTTTGTTGTTAAGGTTTATTTACTCCGCATTGCTAGAATGCATGGAAGAAAGTGGCAATTAAAATAATATTCCTGCACAAAGAACCTGTCACAGGCACAATTGGGTAATTGTTGTAAACATCTAAACCAATAATGAAGTACATAGTTGTTCTCTGGTGGTAATAAGGACATATTTCTTTTCCTTTTCCACTTTGTCACCAGCTGCCAGAGTGGTTATTCTTGTATACATTATAATTATTGCTAAAAAATTCAGGACTTCCTGGTATGTTTAGTTTTTTGTTGCAGTGAAACACAGTACATTATGTTTCACTTTGGCATGCAGACCTGCCCATACATGTCCTTATTAACTCTTACTCTCTGCTAATTTTAAACTGAAAGGCTTTTTGAAAACATCTTCATCTCATTTTGACATCAACTGTCACTTCAAATAAATGTTAGGGTTTCTCTCTCTTTCTTCTCTTTCCTATCACCTACTATTGACCCCTAGGGTTGATGAGCATGAGTGCCTTAACTGTAAAAACCAACCGCCTGGGCACGTAGAAAGTTGTCTCATGTGAAATCCAGTCTAGTGAGAAAACTCTCGTAAAAAATGAAGTTTTCACAACTGATGCTCTGTGTTACTCAACACAGCATCTTGTCGGGGTGACAGGAGTGACAGATAAATTTCCATGTCTGTTAAGTGCGTTTGCAACCGAAACCTGGCACAACTGAGGGATACTGAGTCCCAACATGTTGACAAAAATCTTGTTATACGACTAAAAAGAAAAACTAAGAAATACGAGTAATAAAATGTCTAACTGTCTAAAAACTTCCTGAGTTTTTTGTTTTTTTTTTGCTCCATCTGTTCATAGCCTTTTACTCGCTGAGATTCAGCATTTCCTGCACAAGCTGTCAGTGGATGGCTGCGCCTGTCACTGTGTCCGTTTGTGCTGCAAAAAGCTGGAGCTCTCTCCCAGGACTGTTCAGTACTCAATACCCTATGGTGCAGGCCATTGTAGACTGTTGACTATAGCCCCCTTTGTATAGCAGCTCTTTTGAGAGATCGCCTTAGCATCCAAAGAACCCCCTGCCTCATTTGCTTTCTGCCTCCCCCTGCCTTTAATTCTCCATGGTTTTGGGGAGCTGAATTAGACCATTTCTCTCTTCTGTGTCCACAGAAATCATTTTCAGAGTTTTTTTCCATCCTCTTTGATCCATTTTCTGCACTGTGAACGTAAAGACGCACAATGAGCCTGAGGACTTGCTGTCGAGATTGCAGCAGAGGTTTCTTTAGCTGCCAACTGAAGAAACAGAGTGGTAATACAAACAAGGTGGGTATATTTAAAATCCAAAGTTAATCTAGATTAAATTTACTTTATTCTGTTTAAAACAATAATTCAAATGTTTTTTAAAGCTTTTCTGCTTAATGCTAACTAGCTGGAATAGCCACTTTCACCCGATCACATTATTACACAGAGACTAAGTGCCTTGCTTAGGTGGCAAGCTATCTCTGAGACATTAATATCTTTAAGGAAACAATCTATATGGATTTTGTTTTTATATTTACTATTATCATTTTCTGTGGTTCAGTTTTTAATAAGAGCTCCATGTTATGCTGAGTAAAGATGCTTTAGTCTTGGGTGGAGTCAAATGTTATTTTTACTCAAGTCATAGGTCCTTCTGATACAACCAATTCTCAAGTCATTAAATCTCTGACTCAAGTTGGAGGTTTAAAGTCCACACCTCTGGTTTTGTCATCGTTGGCAGAGTGGGCAGTTGCCAATTCCTGCTCTAAAATAAAATCATTATATCCATAAAGTTTATCAGAAGCATCAGAAAATGGATTGTTAATCAGTCATACAGTCATAGACAGGATTAAAGAAAATGAACCAAAGCTGCCAGCAGATTAAATATTTTTACAAATTTAGAGGGATGTTTGCAGATATTTCCTCTTGTTCAGAAATGACTGAAGACAAAGTCTGTAAAGGTGCGTTCACATCAAACAGGGCTGATTTTAAACACGGTCCGACTGGTGGTGGTTGTTTGACTTTTCACCTATCTCTGATAAAATCCGTGTGAACAACGTTGATATTGTGGTAAAATTTCACTCAGTACGCTTCACTAAGTCATCAGATAGAAGGAGCATCCAACCGTTTGCCAGTTCCTGTTGTATGTTCAACTGACCTTGGTGGAACAAACATTTTTATTGTGAGAGTCGTGGTTCTGTATGTGGAACCGGTCTCCCTGATTCCCCCAAATCTGCTCCCAGTTCCAAAAGCAATGGATGGATGATTGCTTCTAGCGATGATGGTAAAGCAAAGATGTGATGATTGAAGACCGATTATTTCAGTTTGTGCCAATAGAAGTGTATGAATTTGCAAGCTCTGACATGCTGTGATGGGTTAATTTGTTTATCTGCAATAAAAAGTAGATTAGGATGACTTTCTATCATTTCCTTTGTAGGAGAGCTGGTGTGTTTACCTGAGGTAAAATAAAATAAAAGGGTTGAGCTGTCATGGTAGAGCATTTCTTCACCCTGTCCGTTGCTTATCACGCACAAACACAGCTGAGGAATGATCTGTATCATTTTATCTGGAACATAATTCCATTATCTTATCTTTCCTTTTAGCGTTCCTGCTGCTGGTGCACATTCGTCAGTGTTGGGGCCCTGGTTTCCATCTGCTGGATATATCTACTGATCATTTTCAATGACCAATACAATTTAAATGCGTGAGTGAGCAAATCAGATGTTTGTGTTTATTGATATATTGGTCTTTTACTTTCTTATCCCAGTCCTAATTCTGCTTCTACCAGGGACCTCTTCTATAAGTTTCACAAGCATTTGAATTATTTCATGGTAATGATGACCGTTTCTGCCATGTTTGCCAGCTACTGTGTTCTGCTGCTGGTGAGAATCAACATATCAGATTGAATAAAACTGAATAGCTTTAACCGGTTCTGTCTAAACCATTTTTTGTTTTTTTGTTTTTATGCAGCTTTTTGCATTGGTTCAAGTTGCATTGAGAGTGAAACTTCATCTACACTGGCTGCACAGGGTACATAAACCTTCACCTGTTAAAACTGTAATAGTTTAATCACAGACCTAACAGTCATATTTTCTTTTCTGCAGATCCTCATTTTTATTGGCGTGATCTTAATCGCCCTAGTGATCACAGTAGCACTCAGTTTATTCCCTCACGACCCATGGACGGTTGCACCTATTTCATTCCAGGTACAGTAAACAGGCCAGCTGACAGTTTTGCTAGTGCCCGGGACAACAAAGTCTTTTTTGCACCACCACACACGCAAACACAAAATATTCAACTTAACTGCATACTTCATTCTCCTTTTATTCATTAATCTGCTGTTTACAGAAATATTTTTTTTAGTCCTCCAAACAAGTCTTAGATGACTTCACTTCAAAAATGTGGTTAGACTTGGACCTTTCCTGGGACATTTTAGAGCCCAGGTAGTTTTTTATTATCTGCCTTTTTCTGAAGGCCTTAGAAGACCTTAGTCAGTCACAAGTAGATATAGGAAAAAATAAAGCAGGTTCTTCTATTTCCATAAACAATGTTTGTGTGCACCGTTTATTTCAAGCCCTGGAAATCCTTCATAAAGCTTTCTGTATTTTGTGTTGGATATTTTCATCCCATCTATTGAATTTAGTGCACTGGGTTATAATTTTTTCTACTCCTAGGAAAACGGCAAGCACAGCAGGCAAAATATGGACTTTTCTGACCCTAACAAATTCTCTCTTCCATTGTGGGAGATAGAAAAGGTTAAATACTTTGGGGATTATCTGCCTTCATTTGCCATCTCTTTTTTGCCATAACAAACAGTCAGTTAGTGTGTTGGCTCTCTATCGCCTCCTCATACCCTCTACTCCTTTTTTCTCTGTCCACCAAGCTCCCCACCCCTCAGCCGGCTCTCCCATCTTTCACCCTGCACCTAGACCTCTGCCATCTCTCTGCTTTTGGCGTTAAGCTCAAGTATTTCTGTAAAAGTAACTGTGGTTTCCCTCTTACACTCGCTAGTGGATGCTATACTTTAAAATCACATTGATAAACGCATTGCTCCTTTCCTGGCTCTGAACGGGCATCATTCTTCCACAATTCCATTCCTGGACCTGTCCCTGACTCATCTTAAGTTTATTTTTAATATTTTAAATCCCTCAAGCCTTTGGTGTCATCTTCTTCCAACGTTTCTCTTCTCGTCTCTGTGCGCTGCACTTCTGAAAACCTGACATTCTTAGTTTGCAGCTAAATGAACTTCAAAAGTTGCAGCCCACCGTTGTCCTGGTCAAACCATTTTATGTTGAGGTGGGGGGAGTTCTAATGGACCCTTATTTAAAAAAATATATATATTACATTGCCTGATGCACCTGAAATAGGAGACTGCGTTCTTTCCCTTATTTTGAATGTAAATTTTCTTGTTCCATTGGCAAAGTGTGTCACTTACCTGCTCAATTCAAGAAAAAAGGCACTTATTTTAAGAAAAATTGACTTACTTAGATTTCAGTTATTTGCGGTGCACTCTTATTTTTATGTTGTTGTGTGTGTGAACAAGCCAAAGGGAAATTTCTGCCATCATTGTGTATGATAGACAATAAAGTTATTCTATTCTATTCTATTTAGCTTTCAATCAGATACAACAATAGCGTATAGAACAATAGAAGCCATTCAAAGTTAATTGCCTCTTTAAACACCTCTGTTACAATCACACTATTATTTCTTTACTTTTTCCAACCTCTTATGTGCTATTTGCTTGTAAAATATACCAGAAAGCAGTTACACCCAAGCTCATCGCATGCTGATTTGGAAGAGTTTATCCGCATTGTTTAGTAAAAGCTCTCTAAAGATCTTAGATGGTGACAGCATCTCTTCTCCAAAGCCTTTTTTATTGGTGAACCCAAACTTTTTATTTTTATTTTTTGGCAGAAGTAGCAATCCTATATTATATAATATTTACTTAATTTTAGGGGTGGGGTGATCTAGGCTGTTTTGTTGAACTGGGTGAACACCTGGACTCACTGTGGCACTATATAACTAGTGTTAGTCTTTGAAGTGGACACCCTAAGGTTTACTTTTAAAAACCTCCTCCTTGGTTATGCACAGCTTTTTTTTTTGCGAACATTCATTTCAGTTAAATGAATCTGTTTCAATCCTTTGAAAATTGTCCATCAAATGTTCAATTTATTTAAAATTATCTTTCAGAAGGTTTTAGAAGATTCCGGCCATGTCTTGAATGTTTCTACACAAGAAACTGGTTCTGCCACATGCACGGTTGAACTTCCCTCGTTATAATTGAAGACATTTTGCTTTTCAGATGAAGAGTTTCCTTGATTTAGAGCTGAATCAGAGGTTCCAAGCTGCTTGGAAAGAGCCCTTCTATACGTTTGAATCCTTATACAGATCAGGCAATCAGGCGTCGTTACTGCCGTTGTTCATCTGGGACACAGAGGTGTTTTGATGACTGAAACCCTTCTCTGTCCAAGGCAAACAATGAAATATGTTCACGTTATTGAGCAAACTTCCTGATGTGCATGTGCTGAATGATTGGAACTCTTATTGTTTCTAAACATTTGGCTCTTCAAGTGAACCATGTGCAAATACAACTAGCAAAAAACGTTTTCCTGCTTTAGATATGTCGAGTTGTTTTAAACATTGTTAAAAAAAATTAGTACAATGCCTTTTGTAGCTTGCTAAGCAGATCAAACAATGCAAAAAAAGTGAGAGGAAGCAGCCAAGATGTTACCTTTTCATTATGTAAGAGGTACGGAGGAACATGTTGGCACAACTATGTTGGCACAACATACATTTTTACAGAAAATCTTTTTTATTTTGTATCTTAAATAGCTGTTTGGCTTGCTGACTAAAAAAAAACTTAATATTTTGTCGGAGAATCTAATATAAACTCTCCTTTATCAGTAAAAATACAAATAGGTGAAATGGACAAAAAAAATGCATAATATTTTGACCTGCATTGAATGTTAAAAAAAAACAAGAATCAACAAGTTTTACTTTCAAAGTTGCCAATAAATTAGCAAATAAATTTTCTAAAAGGTCAAGATACTTTAGTGATAAATAATGATACCCTCTTAACTAGATTATATTGATGTATAAATCCAATGCAGTGTTGAAAAAGGTAAAAATGTTTGAGAATAATCAGAAAATAACGCAGATCGATTTCATTTTACCATTTGCAATTTCTTCTCCATCATATTAAAAACCTTAAATAATGGGAATTACTGAAAACTGATTAACTGCCTTTTGGTGAATTTTGTATCCTACATTTGTTATTGTTTTTCACATCAATATAATAAAAAAAAATGTTTAGCCCAAGCACATGTACAGATTTAACACTGGGTGGAAAGTTTACCAGCATCATCATTTGTTCCCTCTTTGTAGTACACGGGTCCTTTCTTACAATTCGGTGCTGTTGGAGCCTGGACTCTGCTCAGCTGGTTCATCTTCCAGGCTTTCCATGAGGCAAAAAAAGGTACGTTGCTCATCACCTAATTTGTATACAAACACATGATTCAATGGCACCCATTTATATACACATTTCCACATAAATTCATTGCAATGCATCATTAAGCCTTTAAAGCATTTCTCATAGGAATCTTTAGGTGATCTTATACCAATAAATCAGACCCACTAATGGGTATGTGTGGGTAAATGTAACATATTTGTCTCCTTTTCCATCTAAAGCTCCAGGAACTGAATCGATCGTAAATAAACGAACTCCCTAGGGATTCCAGGGAATTCGGTTTCCTCTAAAAGCCCCAGGACAAGATTAATGACTGCATGATTAACCGACAGTAACCAATAAAAAACAGTTTTGCTTCTTTTATTATATTAATAAACAGGTAAACCGCCAGTCAAAATTGAATTTATTAAAGCCAGTCTGCATATAAAAGGAATTTAAAACCTAACCTTTATAATCATAGGCAAAAATGTTATCAGGTAGAAGCTTTAGATGGTATGGACAATGGGAAGACTACAAACGGATGCTCCAAAAAAATTACGGACAGCATCCAACATGTAAGTTCTCCTCTTATTGTACCAGGCCAACTGACAGCCTGGGACAAACTATTAGGATATAGGCTCCGATCACACGATCACATTCATATCGTCTGTCTGATTGCAATCCACCTAATAAGAACTACCGGTACATAAAAAAGCCAGTCAACAGGGAATGTTTGAAAAGTGAAAGTGCTGCAATGCGATTGTTACTCTAGGAAAACATTTTTCTTCAGACTGGCTAAACGGTGTAAAATCAGTACCTGCATTTCCTTAAAATGTTCTGGTAAAACAGACAAGGTTTTGTGGTGTACTTTCTCGTAAAAGAAAAAAAGACATTTTAAAATAACTTTCCGTGTTAGATTAATTAACAGGTTATGACTGAGTGACTGACTGACTGTCATTAAAGGCACCTGGCTATTTCTTGATAAACTAGATGCATAGATGGGGTTCTGAGTTATACTTACTCATTAAAAAACATTTTCAAACTTGTTTTTTTAGTATACTAAAGGTATAAAAACAACAGTTTTACCATCACCTTTATCAGTTACTTACTGAGTTTCCTACTCGGTTACTGGCACTGGTAAAACAAAGCAATGCACCTGTGGACACCACCACCCTCAACAAGCTAGAGGAAAGGTATAATGAATTAGGTATGTGAGCAACTAAAGCCCTGGGAAAATGAAATTACCCTGGTAAACATGCTGGGCTTTAAAAAGCAAAAGGATATCAAGTGACAAGGGAGAACAAGGAGCTATTTAGAGTAAAAAGAGAGCTGGAAAGCTTAAAAAAAACATTACAGACCCATTTATTTATTCATTTTATGTTTTTTTGTTTGTTTTTTAACAACAGAAACATTTACCATTAAAAGTGAATTTAAGGTGAAAAGAAGTTAGCTTTCTTTAACAAAAACAATTGAATATTTTACAGTTTATGTCATTCTTGCCGGAGAAAATAATTGCATTTTTGTTTCAAGAAGGACGAATTTCAAGCCAATGTACTTTATGGCTGCAACTAACGATTGTTTTGAAAATTGATTCGTCGGTAGATTATTTTTTTTAAAGACTTTTTACTAAATTAATCCAGGTGAAACTAAAACATTTTCACTTAAGGATTTGGATAGAGCCTATTGAGAGACAAAAACATTTTTATCTTAAATGCAAAATGTTTATATATATATATATATATATATATATATATATATATATATATATATATATATATATATATATATATATATATATATATTACAATTTTTATAATAATTTCTGCTTTAAGTGGGTTACTGTGTCAGCTAAAGATATGTCTTTCAGTCTCTACCTCAAATTAACTAATAACTAATTACTAAATTAGATGACAATTATTTCAATAATCAATTAATCGCAATTAATCTGATTAATTGTTTAAGCCCTAATATACTTTATACTTCCTTTTTATTAGTTAACCATAACAGCACGTTAGAGTTTTTTTTTTTTAAATAGCATTCTTAAAAAATCAGCTGCTAAACAACTGTAGTTTTAAAAGGTTATTTTTTTTAACCAGTGTGAGAAATTTTGTGACATCTGGTTTAATCTTTAGCATATAAAAAAGAGAAACCAAAAAGTTTTTGGCAGTGACAAGTAACCCAACAATGGCTGCTTGTGTCATTTAAAACGGTTAAAAATTCAGACGTTTGGCTCACTGTCATTCAGACGTTGAGTAAAAGGTGATGACAGGAGCCAAGATAAACACGGAAAACTTGCACAACATATGACAGCACCTTCAGTTAATTGTAACACGAGATGTAAAACAGTGTTGTTTTTTGATTGGTCAAAAAAAAAAAAAAGCAGACATTTTACATTCCGTCTTGCCAAGCAAACAGTGGTTGATTTAAAACATGGAGATTAATTAAATTGCTGTTTACTTCTAATACCTTGGTTTTAAAAATGAGCTTTGTTTTACATTTAAGGATTTTTTTTTATGCATTAAAGAGACAACAAAGTCACATAAAACATTTTATTTTGATAGCTCAAGCTGCATTTTATAACCTACATATGTGAAACAAACCTTATGTATAGAAGCAGTTCAACATATTGCTATTTTAATAACTTTCACAATAACTTTTTGGGAGATTGGAAGGACAAATATAGTAAAATGATAAAAATAAAGGAAGAGCCTTTAATAATTATTACTTATACTAACATCTAAAAATGTTTTTTTATATAACATTGGGCGTACAAAAACAGTCATACTTTTAAATGTCATGATATTCTAGGGAGTATGCTTAGCAACTGTAAGATAGCATATGCAGTTGGACTCGGATGTTATATTTTGCTGCTTCTTAAACAAACTATATTACATGTGTATACTGTTAGAATAAACTGTATAAACGTCTGTATAAAAACCGATGCCACATCAAACTAAATGTTTACTTTTTTTAGATCAGTTTATGACTAGAATTATCTCTTTGCTAAATACCACGATAAACTGTAAGACTTGGTCCATTTTTTCCATCCTTCCACAAGCTTAAACAATTTACAAGAATTCTGGGCCATTCCTACTGATTCATCCGTTGTAACTGAGTTTGTAAGCCACACTCCTACGCACCTCTTCAACTCTACCCACAAACTTACTGGGCTGAGATCAGGGACGGCTACTCCAAAACATCACGTTTCTTTTCCTTAAGCTACTCTGTCACTAATTTGTCAGCATGTTTTGTTGTTCTTTTAGAAGATAAATTTTCACCCAAGCTTTTAGTCCTTCATCTTGGAGTGCTGCTTTAGTATTTTCACATGGTGTTCTTTTCACTATGAAATCTATCTTGTATACTTCTACAACCCTGCTTCACAGTTAAGATTTTCTGAGGCTTTAGATATTCTCACCTTTTTGTCAAAATGTTAAGCTCCATAAATTAAGGTCTGTGTGCCCAAGTACATTTTATTTATCTTCAATATGCTTTTTGGGGGAATGGCTTCTTCCTCACTGATTGGCCTTTTAGCCCATGTGAAAACAGGACTTATTGCACCATGCACGATGATTCTTATTGGTTTTAAACAGCATCTTTACAAGGTGATCTGTTGTTGTTACACACATTTCGAAACAAAACAATTTGAAATGAAGGACCAGTCTCCTTGCTAAATGATAACACTGATGCTGGATTATAGAAACTTCTATAATAGAAAAAAAAACAAAAATAATGAACTTCATTGATTTACTGTGGTAATTCTTTTTCATATAATGCAAGTATAGCCTATGTGTAGAGCATTTAACTATCAGTACAGCTGGTCATTTTAAAATATTGTGGTAAAGTAAATAAAAATGAGATGTCATGATAAATCAACCTGACTATCAGAACACTGTGAATTTATATCATAAATAATACCTGTACTTCTTAAGTGTGACAGGACTTGATATTTAGTCATGTTTTTTAACGTCATATGCATATTGGGTCACATATGACAACAACTTAAGTTATAATTGTTTTTGTTGAGAAATGACGAAGACCTTAGAATACAGCTGACATCCTCCCACTAATCCTTTAAATGTCTAAAAATGGAATCCTGACTTGTTGATGTTTTTTCTTCTTTTCCAGGATCAAAGTGGATAATTGGTCTGGTATTTGTTACTGTGTCAGCATTCATCTTTATCTGTCCCATCTTCATCCGCTCACCCTGTTTGATATACCTAGAGGATTTAGAAAACACAACCAAACCAAGTCTCTGGGGCCACAGAGGAGCACCAATGGTGAGCATGCTGATTTACCAAGATCTAAAATTAAAGATAAAAAAAAAAAAAAAAAATGCATTTGTTTTCTACAACTCCAGCAGGAGGTGCATTCATGTTTAATGACAATGTATTTTTACACCTGCTTTTATTGATGCTGCAGCAGTCATACGAGGGGCCCCGTATGGCCCCTTTCTGCACCCTTGTTGGCATGCTCTGCTGCTGGGTCAACAATGAGCTCCATTTAATATTGTGTATTTAACCACCTGTGTGCTCACAGCCTCGGGGTATTTTGTGTAAAAATGTTTCTCACCCTTATGCTCTTGCGATGTTCAGCTTGCCCCGGAGAACACCATGATGTCGTTTGAAAGGAGTGCAACTGTTTGCAATGTGACGTTGTTTGAGACAGACGTGCAGCTTAGGTAGGGGGAAAATGTTGACCTGCCTCTATTGATTTGGTCTTTAAATGTTTTTGCAGTCATATATCAACCTCATAGTGTAATGTTTGTTTTATGAGTGAATGGTACATATGCCAGATAAAAAAAAACTAAGCACTGTAATTATTGTGTTTGGTACTTTAGCAAAGACGGAATTCCTTTTCTGATGCACGACAATAAGTCAGGGTTCCTCAATAGAACAACAAATATTACAACACTGGTCGAAAGTGGCAAAGAGTGGAACTTTAATAAGCTGAGGAGTCTAAATGCGGGGGAATGGTTCATTAAGGTGAGTGCTCTCTCTGTTTGTAAGCCTCGCTGAAAGTCTAAATAAAAAGAGAAAATGCAACTAAATACTAAAAACGTTATTTTTCTTTTCAGGCAGATCCTTTTCATACAGTGCACCTGCTTAAAGAAGAACAGAAAAAGAAAGCTAAAGAGGAAAAAATACCTAAACTAAGTGAGCTACTTGAGCTCGCCATAAAGACAGAAATTCCCGTTATGTTTGACTTGTATGTTCGTAATAACAGTAATACCACAGAGGTAGATAAAGACGCTGAAGACATTGTGAAGACCATCCAGAATTCTAGAATTGACTCCAGACTGGTAGGTCTAAATGCTCTTGTAGAGCTTAAAAACATTGTATTTAGTAAGATTTTAAAGGCTTGTGTTGTTCTAGATCTACTGGCTTAATTCAGAAAAAAGAAAGCGTCCAACAAATGCTGCAAACTTCACCCAGGTTTACGAAAACGAAGATGAGATGCATAAAGAAAATGGATTTCGCCTCAATGTGAAGTTTAGTGAATTTAGTATGGACAAAATCAGGTAAGACATGGCAAAATTCACAAAAAAAAACACTAGTCTGCAGGTAGTGCTTCATTCAGATGGGGTTGGAACGAAGTAGTGTGTTGAATAGGTGCATGTCTTGACAAAGCGCTTGGTCTTTATGTGTAAACTTTGGCTCAAGGGTATACCGTAGAATAATGCACCAAACCCTCTAAGGTGTTTTTAAACAAGGAGCAAAGCATGCATAAAACATTAAACATGTTGCAACAGTGTTTTCCATTCCATAAAGTCCATGAATCGGAGCACTTCAGGGACTTCATTGAAGTGTTGTGGCGCGGCGAATAAAAGCTGTTGCTGCTGCATTTTTGTATGACTTGAGCTTTTCACATTTATATTGCAGAACATAGCATTGGGAATATTTACATTAGCATGCCTGGTCATGGGCCTGTTGTGTACACGGATGGGTGTGTGGCCTCAATTCTCAACAATAGACACAAAGCAAAAACTTGGGCTTTTCTTTATTGAAAAATCCTTTGGAAGTCAGAATGAAACGATTTGCCAATAAAGAATTAGTACTCTTTCCGCTTGGCTGTGCAGTATATTTAGAGATTGTTGATTGTTGAAGCTCACTCACCCAACTTTCTTGCCCCTATTCTCTTTTTATTTGAAATTTATGGGGAGAAAATGAGATCATTAAAAATAAAAATGTAGTATCAAAAATTTGACGATTTTAATACTAAAAAGCCTGTAATCACATTTAACAATAAATAATGTTTTGGATTGGATTGGATTACAAGCATGACCAAATTACAGACCTGGAAAGCTGATATAAATAGTATCCAAATGTTAGTTATGCAGCAGCTAATACATGTTTGATTTTGGATTAATATTAGTTAAACAATTCATTTAAAAAAAAATGACCTCAGATATTTTATAGTAACCTATATCTTCCTCATGCTGTCATATTAAAATAGATCAAATCCTCTTGTTGTAACAAAGTATTGCTTTATCTTAAGAAATATTTTATATATATATATTTTTTTGTAAGTGGAGATCCCTTTATTGTCCCACAATGGGGAAATTCTCTGTATTTGACCCATCCCCTTGGAGAGCAGTGGGCTGCCACCGTGTGGCGCCCGGAGAGCAATCAGGGGTTAAGCGTTTTGCTCAGAAACCCATAGTGGAGGTTGTGGGGATCTAACTAGTTAATTGCTGCCTTCACAGAACACAAACCTACTGCTCTAACCCACTCAAGCCAACACTCCCCTTTAGCCATTTTAATCCTTTGTTTCAGTTCATTTTAACCAGGGAAGTCATGTTGAGATTCAAACACCTCTTTATCAAGGACGTCCTTTTTGTGTTTTCCTTTCCAATCCTATCTGGATTTATTATTGACATTTAGGTCTTGCCATACTGAGTTAATTTTTCAGTGATCATTTAAGGACATTCTGCTATTTCCATCCATTCATTTTCTCCTGCTTAGTCCTTCTCAGAATCACGGTGGGCCTCCACCCTGTAGTCTATGGGTGAGATGCGGGATACACCCTGTACAATCACCTGTCTGTCGCAGGGCAAAACAGAGACCCACAAAGACACACAACCGTGCACACATGAACACACCTAAGCACAATTAAGAGAAGCCAATTAACCTAACAGTCATGTTTTTGGACCGTGGGAGGAAGCCGCAGTACCCGAATGCACAGGGAGAACATGCAAAATCTATGCAGAAAGACCCTGGGCAAGGAATCAAACCCAGATCCTTCTTGGTACAAGGCAATGGTGCTACCCACTGTGCCACCATGGAGCCCCTCTTCTGCTGTTTAAGGAAAAGAAACATTCCTCAAGTATCACACAGTGGGAAAATATCCCCACTGTGTTAAAGCTTCCTAGTGGGCTGCACACACTGGGCCTAACCTTCAAATGACCAGAACATGGAAATTACTGGGAGCAGGTTATACAAATACCTGCATACGATGATCAGACTTGAGACAGATTGCAGGTGCAGGTTTTGCATATTTAAATAGGCTAAAGCTATACATTTAGGGTGGGGGGTACAAAGCTTTCATTGTGGGCACTTAAAAGTGCATGGTGCTTTCTGTACAACATTTAATGAATTTTATAGGAGTTCAGAAGGAGATTGCCAATACTTTGGCTACAAATCTGACAGTGGCAGTTACTCGGCCTAAAGTTAAAGTTTACTCAGTTCCACTGCTTTTATTCTGTCACAGCTGTTCCAAATCCCCTATTTACTCATCTGGGTTCCTTGTAATTTTCCTACATGAGTGAAGGTAAATTTTCTTTGTAATTTTCCTCCCCTCCCTCAGTATTTAATTTCCTCTTACTCAGTTGTTTCCTGCCAGGTCCTTCTGTTATTTCATACCAAACTATCACCTTATTCTTCTTTCGGCTGTTTTGCAATACATAATCTTTTATCATTAAACTTGTTTAATTGTTCTGCTTCTGTCTGCATTTGGGTCCAATTAAAAAACACGAATAGATGCTGGCTATTCTTGATTTAATTTACTTTAATACTTGTTTTATGTTATTCAAGGAAAAAAATAAAGCATTTAACTAAACCAAATTCCGCCCTCTGCAGGCTAGTTGATATTACAACGCCTATTCATTTTAACAGAAGAGAGAGAGAGTTTTTGTCACACATTTAACATAAAACTGATGATGAAAGTCAGAGCGCTTTGGCAGATAAAGGACTAATTACTCCTAATCCCCTTTGGATTAGACATGCCTGGATTAGTGTTGTCAAAGCACACCAAGCTTTGAAAGAGTTGTGTGTTACATCACCAGGAACTAGAACTAACTGTGTGCAATAATGTTAACATTTAACTACAAATAAAACAGGAACTGCTAGTTCTTAGTATTTTGAGGTTTGATTAAAACTGTGCAACCGTCATTATATACAGATGGTAAAGGGGTTGAATAAATTCTGATTTAAAAACAGAATTATTTTTACATCATACTGTTCCTTAGAGTATTTATCCCTTTAAATGACATCCCAGACAGAGTGATGGATTGCTTTATCAGTCAGCTGCCATAACCTGTCTTCAAATAACTGAAATATTTGCTTTGATCCAGCTGAACAGATAAAAAAAATGGTTGCAAGCAAGTCACTTTGTTGTCCATCAGGGCACATGGGGTTCGATGCAGCACCATGTTGTGGGGATAGTTGTCTTGATTAAGGATGATTAACTAACATAACAAAAAATAAATGTAATCTCTAAACAACTTTTAATTAGCTTGACTCGGGGCAAAATGGCTTTTAATATGAAAGGTTGCAGACCCCTGAACTAAAGAAAAACCCAAAACAAAAAAGAAATGCTAAAAGAAACGCTGTGCAGGACTGTTTTCCAGAGGATCCATTTCTCCGCAGCACTCAGACTCTTTATAAACATTAAAAATGGGTCACTGCTGAAGTAAGTGCATTTACTACCCATTAAAGAGCATATAAATAAAAAATGTGATTCTACGCAGCTTTGATGGGACTTTTTTCTATACATACTGCAACTTCTCAAACGTTTTCGTTTGTCCTATTAGAAACTATTCCAGTTGAACAAGAGAAAACTAAATGAAGACTGTTATAGTAAGCCTTGTATAAAGTATATATTGCTGAACCACATTACAAGTACCACACCCAAGCCTCTCCCAGTCTGCGTCTTGCAATAATGCATCCCCCTAGGACATGCATGCAGCCTAACATTTAACTTGTCACACCTATCATTCAAATGACATAGTTACAGTTGCATAGAATAAACCTCTGTTTCCTCTTTTCTGTGTTATGGTGACTAGAGATGCGTGATAATTGATTTTTATACAAACACCTACAACAAAATGTTCTACTTTCAAAGGCGATAACCGGTAACCGATAACCAATAACATACCAGTAGATGAAACCAACAGGTAAAGATGGCAAATTTTATCAATGACTGAATAAATTAGGATATTGTAGAATTTAAAAATTATATGCAAGACATAATTTTTTGAAATACATCAGACAGAACCATATTTCAAATGAACATCTACTTTAATGAAGTGCATTACTTTTTGATGTCAAACAAAAGCTGTTAAATCCAAATAAAAATTCCACCATTTAGATTCCATTTAATTAAATGTATTATTAATATATGATTGTAAGAAATAATTTCAACTGAAAAAGTGCATTCTTTAAACGTTTAGAAACTAAAACAATGAACCACTGACAGCTTTCCACTTGTTTGTGTAAAAGCACAAACTAGTTTTAGATGAATCAGGGGAAGATTTCCTTTCAAAAAGCAACATCTCTGCCTTTTCACAGCAGGTTTGTTCTTTTATTTTCCATTATGTGTTAAATCCAGCCAGGCACCTGAAGTAAGACTGGAACTAATGCTCCAGCTCATGAAATGTTCAAAAAGCCACCTTGTTACACAAAATGCTGCACAAAGCTACCTTATTGCCTTTCCCTGAAACCCAAAAGAAGTTCCAAACTTCAGCCGCCATGTTTTCTGTCTATTTCTTACATGCTGTATTGCATTCAAGGGGAGGCAGAAGTTACCTGCTCCTAGTTTGGTATTAAGTCCTCTGACCTTGTGCAAGCTAACAGGATAGTTAGTAAAATATTATAAACAATCATTAAAATAATGACTTAGTAGTTTTCTGGTTTGAAGAAGTTTTTAAATGATTTGTTTTCCCAGCTAGAATTTTGACACCACTCAGGAGTGAGCACTTGTTAAAAAAAACAACAGAAAAGAAAAACAAGAAAACTCTCCCACAGCTCTCCTATCAAACATATATAGGCACTATTCGACATACTGGACAGAGACGTTTGACATTATGATTTCTTGGTAACTAACTAATAGTTGTATTTCCTCCTCCTAAAAAAATTGTATTTCCTGCATTTTAACCAAATTGTATCCCTTTTCAGCTCAACACAGAACCATACTAAATATAATTATACTTTATATCTATACTATATATATTTTGTTCTTTGAGCGTGGATTTTATTTCTTGCAATAAGCTACAGCAAATTAAAATAATTAATAAATGGAAATGTTAAGCCTGCACAGTATCATTGTGCACAGAAATCCCCTCATAAAAACCAATGGCGCGCTTGGCCTGATAGGGAAGATTACTGGTATTATATTAATGTTTTTGTTTTTTGCTTATCTTTGGTTTATTTTGGTTGTTAGTTACCCAGATTATTAAATTAATCTTTGTTGTGCTATACTTTTCCTGAGCAGGTCAGCTGGGCACTTGCAATAAATAATGTTGCAATAGATGCTTTGAGTTGGCGAACGCAGGTGCACAGTTTGTAGAACTAGAACTAAACATGAGGACCGTCACCAGGAAACCATGACAAACGCCCCAAGAACAGAGATTACCGAGTGGAGAATGCTTTAGACAGACAACGTCATAAAGGGGAAGGTGAATCAAGAACAGTAGAACTCTAAGCTTTAGCTACGAGAGGGAGGGAGAGAGAATCAGGACGCGTAGACATGGGTCACACTTGCAACAGTAGAGTTGTTCTGTGCGCAAGTGACACCAAAATTACTTTATTTTTTAGTTATTTGTGAAAATACGCAACAAATTTATCAGTTCAATACGGGACGCGTAATTAAACTTCTAAATATGGCAACCCTAGTTGTATGTCACTAATTTCTGATCATCAGTTTGTGACCCTCAGCTAATGCTATATTGGGTTCTCTAGCAGAACATTAGCTACGTCTATGATGAACACGCCATCCTGCCCTCTACCCGTGTAGCAAATGAGCGTTAGATACTGCTGAGACCTTAACACCAAAAAACAAGAGACAGAGGGAAGTTAAAGTTGGCTTTCTTTTCTTCTACAATTAAACAATTTACAGTTATTTTTAATGATTACATCAGATCAGCTGGTTGGTACATGTACACACACATCATGATTGGATCATTTTATTTAGTGTCCATGTAAACGGAGATTTTGAATTTCTGATTAACCAAAATTGAGATTGGATCAGGGGGGAATTTACGCATGTAAACGTAGCTAATGACTCAAACCACACCAAGAAGTCCACCTCTGAATGACTACTAAAGAATGGTTTCAAAATGGCCTAGTCAAAGTCAAAACAATGAATAATAAAGTGACATGACCAAATGGAGGCCATTAATGCTCAAATCCTTTAATGTGGATGAATTAAAATAATTCTGCATGGGTTGCAAGGTTGGCACTAACAGCTGTTAGGGATGCTGGCTGATCACCATTTTACATAAAGTCAGATTGGTTGGATTTATATTTGTTCTTTAATAAAGTAAAACAAACACAAACATACTGGATGTAAACAAGCAGACAGGCACACGTGCTCAGGGTTGATAAACACTAGTCAGTCAAACTATTTCCTTTATTTCAGAAACCTTTTAAGCAAATCTGTACATCAGAGTTCTATTAAAAATCAAATCAGAAACAACACAGCTGAAGGAAATGATATTTACACACATTATGAACATATTAATTTCTAGTTTATAACGCCTCTCCCACTTTAATTTAGGTGGATAACTACAATATTAACTTCAATTGCTCTGTTTGCCAGCTGGTTGCCAGGTTTTGTTAATGCTAACGTTTGGTCATGTCAGTACACATCAGT